CAAGGCAATATTAACTTTCATTTTCTGAAAATGATGTGTACTAAGATGCTGTAAAGTTAATTCAGGTGCTAACTTCAACTCACAATCACTTTGATAGTTAGCTAAATTAATAATATGATGCAAATCCACAACATTCGTTGGTAGATTATATTTATGAACAGTGTCAGCTGATAGAATAATATTTACATTATTTAACAGGGGAGCACGGAAATTTTTCAAAATATGTGGCAGATCTGCTATGAAGTAGATAGATCTAGATGAATCGTAAGGATGAACAATCTTATTAATAGTCTCTGCATATTTGCCCACATTGATCCCAAAGGCCTTCCACATTGCTCTATTTGCACTAGCCATGTCGCATGTAATGCATATAATTTTCAGACCTATGTCTTCTGCTTCTTTGATAATGCTAAGGATAATATCATGTAATACAACTCCTTTGCATGAATTTCCACTGAAAAAATATGCAACAGTTTGTTTCCATCGACTAGTGATACCACCAAGTACAAAGACGAATGCTTGACTTGCATATCCCTCGTGTTCTGGCAGTGTTACATCACCTAAAAATTTATCACCCTGTGGATCATACTGAACACCCTGAACAATAGCCATTTCATCTAACGATCAGCAGCAGAATTTTTCAAGGTTATTCATTTTCTGTGACTTTATTTTTAAATATGAGAACACATCGCGAAGTATTCCACTCTCAAAATTAATGTTCTGTAGTCGTCTTCGTAATGTCCGTAAAGACGGAAGAGGCAAGCCTTGTTCAATTAACATTTCATAGCCTGATCTTCCACAAGCAGATTTTAGCTGCAGAGCCTTTCTTATCGTATTATTTTGCCATTTTATTCCCCGCGTTGACAAGTTTCAAGGGTTTTCATTTGATCAGGATTGAAAATTAATTTTATGTTTGTACTCTGCGCGTTGACTCTAGACTTTAATTTTCTTATCTCTTCGTAGAGATCCTTCTTACTTTTCTGCACTCTTTTAACACTACGTAACGCATTACGCGATTGAGGTTTCAGTTCGTTAATCTGTTTTGATTTTGGTGACAGTGGCTGGCTAACGAGATTACCGGAGTCCCGAAATACTGGACCAGATGTCTCATTATCTTCGTCTCCATTCGTGCTTTTACAGTCATCACCATTTTCTTCAAAAAGAAACAAAGTATGCGATAAAAAAAGAATTTGATAAGAATATGTTAAATTTATATTATAAATATACCCGTACTGGGCCGCGTAGATGTCATAAGAGATAAATTTGTGGCATAACTGTGGTCCAAGGTCGGGTCTATACGCTCACAATTGTTTCTACGCCCTATTTTTGGTCCAGAGAGAAAAAAAGTGTAGGCACGGCATCACGCTTCGGCAATCTTCTTCCATCTTTCCTGTGATTCTCATACTGATCTTTCTCAAAATGAGCCTATGAGAGTTAATCTAAATATATAAAATTGCTTGTCCTGACTGACTCACTCATTCATTCACTGATTCATCATCGCCCAGAGCAAACCGCTTAACCTAAAGAGGTGAAATTTGGTACACAGTTAGGGTACGTCATGGAAACGCACACTAAGAAAGGATTTTTCGAAATTCCAACGCGGGGGGGAGAGGGAGAGGATTAAGGCTTAACCGGAAGAACGGCTTCTACTCTACTATTTTAGATGCGATTTTTTCTTTTTATCTGNGTCAGTAGAATGTTTCGACCTCGGACTTAAGTTTGTGTTACTGACGCCAATTTTTGTCTGTGTGGGGCAGTGTTACGTACCGTATTTTCGCGCGATTTACCTACGGGTTATCGGTGTTTAAAGGCATTTTAAAATGATGCGGATTATATGCTGATTTTAAATTGCAATTACGAAACTTGTGCCTACGGAGTAGCTATTGTTTTATAGATGTTGATTATAAAGGTTTCGCTCCAAACATTTTCTGCGTGGACAGTGTCGTAGCCGGAGGTTGCCACTTGCGATGATGAAGTTGCATTCTCTTGCTGGACCAGTTACTAATATTCATTTTCGAACAATTGAAACTCATTTGTATATAAGTGTAAAAATGAACTAAAGTCAGTCGGCACATAAGTATAAATCTAAATCGTAAAACTAACTTCTCAAATTTTCCTCAAATTTATCAAACCGGCTCTTGCGGCAGATCGCTATCGAGAGTATATGAGTGACAAACATCATAGTATTGATAAACCGGTAGCGTACCGTCATTAGAAGCGGTGGAAGCGCCGCTTCCCTTGTATTTTATAAAAAATAAATACATATTAATTTTAATTATACGAAAATAATCGCACAATATTTTATTATAACCGCATTGTGTATCTTATTACAAATTTTTATACTATATGTGAAAAAAAAGATGAGATTGCTACCATGTTTCCCCGAAAATAAGACCTAGCAAAGTTTTTTAGTCGTAACGGTCATCGATAGATGGTTGAAAATGGCCGTTGGCTTTTTTGAAAGTACAGCCACTGGTCAGCAGACAATCACTCTATACGGCATGATTTGCATAAGACTGTCTTGGAAATCACAGATTTGCATAACGTTATGGCTGGTGATCGCTAATTGGTCGGCCGGGAATCACGTCACATCATATTTGCATAGTGCTACGGTTCAGTAAGCATTAATTAGTCATCGGGCTCGATGACCAATTAGGGTTAAGTTGAAGCGAAAGTGGGAAGTCCACTCCAGCACGGGAACTTCGTGAGTTCATTTCGACACGATCGGATATACGTCACTCTCGTTTAAGTTAGACTTGGGAATTTTTTTCTTCAACAATAAATGTGAATGTTTCTTCATGGATAAATAAGACCTAGAGCATCTTTGAGAGCAAAAATTAATATAAGACACTGTCTTATTTTCGGGAAAATAGGGTATTGTATATTGGAATATTAATGGCGGAGTGGAAGCGTCGTATCGTCAGCATCCAAAAAAGTCAGATTCGCTATACGGAACACCAACCTCACCCGGTTTAGCCGGTGGAAGCCTA